CGATGTCGGTGTTTCCAAAGAAGCCAAAGCTATAACGGGTACCATGGCGGGAACTCCTATGTATCTCGCTCCGGAAGTGATCAAGTCTTGTATGTACGATTACAAAGCAGACGTGTACAGCTTCGGCATAATGCTCTGGGAGATGTGGTACGGTAAGAGGGCCCTTATTGATGTGGGAGGAGATGTGAAGGAGTTTTATGACAAGGTGCTTGAGGGTGCAAGACCTGCACATGTCGAAGCCTCCAACAAGCCTCCAACTGGTTTGCATGATTTGATGCAGCATTGCTGGAATATAAAACCTGATGATCGACCAGATGCGGCAAAGTGTTATAAGAAGTTGACTCAGCTGTATCAGGACGCTGAGCACCATCTTAGAAAACACTGATTATTAGGGAACCACCTTCAATTTGTTGACCTTTTAAGTGTAGACTTTTGTGGAGCAGCAGCAATCCCTTATGACTGTTATAGCAAATAGAATAGCCTCACCTGGGCCAGTTTTCCCGTTTTTAACTTTGATCGTAAGTTATAAAAACCTATTCTCGTCTTAGTCAGTGCTGATGTTAAGGACCGTATCTTACTGTTAGCAGTGTCCTTGAGGTCCTCCTCAAAGTTTAGTCATCGTCTCATAGTATCGTATACCATAGAAGAGTTTCCATGATTAGCTACATGATTTCAACTTAGAGCTGGTTAAAATAAATATCAATCTCCTTAGAGCTGACTTATTTTCGCTTTTGACAAATTGTGGCCAAATTGCAAATTTTAAGGAAGAACAACAAGAAAATGCTGTAGGCGAATATTGCTCTATAAGCTTGTGTGAAAGCTTTTTGCCGGGTTCCACAGTCAGTTTCACCATCTGGTGCGAGACGCTTGTGATAAGAGATTTCTTATAGAAAAGTCTGTTTTTTAAGTAGTTACTTGAAATAAAGAGCAGGAAATTCAGACGTCGTCTGCCTACTTCTTGCATAACCATAGAGAAAGTACTAAGAGGGTCAAATGACGCGAACTGAATCAAAGTTCCCTTGTAAGGATTACCAACACTGAGAAGCGCACATTTTCATGAATGAATTGTGTGATCAACATTGGCAAGAGATAACAATGTACTATCATCACCTCTTGATATTGGTAAACTMGAGGCAATTAGGCATTTGCGAACAACTTTCGGGTTAGAATTAAATATTTGACCCATAAGATCGAAAACTGCGAAGGTCAAATAAAGACTTCACGCGGTTTTTCTTCGATGAATCTTCAAACTTCTTTTCTAACGCTCATTTCCTGACCCACCCACATAATACGTTGTAGTGGGTTGTTAACCATTCTTCTATAAACACATGATGAGATGAGTACTGGCTCACACAGGAAACAGGAGAATGTTGGTAATTCAGCACATTACGGTGGGATTGATGGCAAAAGGATAGATGAGGCACGTTCCATGTTTCTGTAATCTCAATAAAGAAAGTAAACTGAAGCAAGGATCCTCGCAGATGAGCTACAATTTAAGCAATTGCAGAAAAGACTGAAAAGTTTTCAAGCTTCGGCGGGATTCGCACCATTGCCACCCAGATACTAGTTGTGCGCTTTTACCAACTTTACTACGAAGCCACGCGTTGGAGAATCGCAGAGTGTATATGCCAACTGATTGCAGTTCACCAGCGAGAATCATTGCTTTACTTGATTTTCACTCGTTGGCAAAAAGAAATTTAGAGTTATAGGGACATAAAGGGTTAAAAGACGTGAACAGAGGTTTTCTTGGAAGGACTTTTAAAACTACGAGGCGTATAGTTCTATGTGTATTATCACTGGCAAGGGAAAACGATATCACATTTTTTCTTGATATCGGTAAATGATGCTTTTACGAAGACCTCTTGTGAAGACCTAATTGTTTCGTAAGATCGCAAACGAGGAAGGTCGAATGAAGGGTTGATCTATGTTTTTCTTCCATCGTTCTCTCAGCACCTTCTACCAATGCTCATGATCATTTGGTGACCCACCGCACGGCGTGTGTTATAGTGACATGTCAATCATTCCTCCAGTCTACATATGCATAACACCGACAGTGGGAGGACAAACTGCTCACTTCCAGACAGATGAACGTGGGCAGGTCAGCAGATGACGGTGGGCTTGATGGAAAGAGAATAATTCGTAAGACCCTTCCAACGTTCTGAACATTTTTTTCTCGTTTGCTCTTCCTTGTAAAGTCTCTATTAAGACTATTTTGGACTTGGTAAGATTATATGTTGGTGCACGCATTCGTTGGCTTTAGCTTTACAAGGGGGTCCTTATGTAAGGAACGCGACTAGTGACACGATCTACACTGAGACAAAAAGTAAACAAGAGTATCGATCACGCTTAATCAAAATCAGTTGTGATTGTTATGAAATTCGTTTATCGTTCGAGGATGACTTATAGTCAACTTTGTAAAACTAGTGCAACTCAATCAACCCAAATATCCTTCCGTCATTCGGCCGTCTCGGTGGAATGGATGTCGTAATAAGACAATATATTTCTATTTTACTTCTACATATAACCCTTGACCAACCACAGCGAAACTCGCCGCAATTTATATCAAAACTAAGTAACTATACAAAACAGTCAATGTTTTGAAATAAGCATCCGATCTAAGACTTCTTTGTGATGTTCATGTGTTTTATTTTCTCCCATAAATGATTTTCCATTTCCCAATCCAGTCCAATTCAATTCGTAGATAGCTGGAGCTCTTTTGCTTCAATTTCTAAGTATTGAGAATCCGGAAACGCATAAGGCCGGCTATTAACCCTTTAACTCCAAGAATATGTGAGTTCTCCCTACAATGTCCACGTGTTGCCTAGCAAACAGGTAATGAGAATATCAAACATAACTTATGAAATAAAGACTATTACCGTGATGTAACACCAATGGCGCTGAGCGTCTGTGACGTCACGAAATTTTGACTCCCTAGAGCGATTAGGACAAACAAACAGGCTTCTCGAGTAAATGAATATGGGCGGTGATGCGCCCATCTCTAGTTCAAACGCCTCTAAAGCTCTTATTTTAAATCAAAACGACGGTTTTCCTGGCTCAAAGTTCGAGCAAGACCAAGAGAAGTATACAAACACACAATTGAAGCGTTGGTTAAAGTGTAGAGGCTTGAAATT